GCTCTATCCAATTATGGTTAAATGAGCGAAATTCCTCATTAACTTAAGTTAACACAATCCTAAATGTTAACAAAATTGCCAAATGTATTTTAAAGCATTGACAATTGTATTTTTTCTTACTAAGGTGTCTATCATCTGACACTTAACCGATTTAATTAATGATTCGGGCTCCATTCATTGCTTTTCATTTTCTTCGGTGTAATCCTTCTGCTGTTGCCTGTCACAATGTTTATTAAAACAAATGCCCCGAACAAAGGGCTAAATTTGACCCAGATTTTTTGTTTGAGCTGGCATCTTGCGAGTATGCAGAATGGCTTCATCATTTCTATAAACTTCTGCTGGCCTGACGTCAAAAGGCGGGGAGAGAGGTCTGACACCAACCTAAAACAATTAGGGGGCCAACCCAAAGCAAGCGAATGTGAGGAGGTCAGAGGTCACTGCCGCGGAAACCCTTTGCCTCGACGTCGCTCACACCGTCTCGAAAATCTTAATTATTTTAATTGCAATGCAATCATCAATGGCTGGGCCCCCAAACATAATGCCTGCCATTAAGTGTGAATGGGAATGCCGGGCCAACGACAAACAATAGCAATCGCATTTCACGCAGGGCCGCCGTTGACAGCTGCTGAAAAGTAGGCTGTGGTAATTTTCATTTCCACTTGGTTTTCTTTGTTTGTCCTGCGGCTCTTATCAAAAGTAATGGCTGATTGTTTGGTTAGCCCAGGGCTGCGTGAATAGGGAAATATTGGTGGAAAATATTAGCACAGAGTTGGGGCCAGTGATCCCCCAAAGGGTTCTTTTGTGTTTGTGTTTATTAAATGAATGAATAATGGGGCACAACTAAACCTCCTCCCGAAATTCCTTGTCGAATCCGTTAATCCTATTAGACCAAAGTTCTCTACACACCATCAATAACCTTTCCATCATTACTCTTCTGTATTTGCTATCCATTAATTGCTCTGATAGATTCAACTAACTATAGTGTGAGTGGCAATTAGTGTTGTCAGAGTGTCTGGTTAATTATGCAGTAATTGCACTTAATATGCATTTCCGGTGAATTGAGCTCGATTTGAGTTTCTATTGCCCTCAGTTACGTATGCACGCATCGATTTGTGGAGAGAAAAAGTGAATTTAGGTGCAGGCAGAACAAATATTTACTTGTATATGAAATTTTCAGGCAGCTAGTCAGGCAAACAGCACGACACCAAATTGAGCGTTTATCCCGGGAAAAGTTTTTTGCTTATAACCTGCAGTTTTTAGCGTGGCCATGAGGAAAAGAAAAATATGCCAATTGTTATGGAGTTAAATTTTACATACCCTTTGGATTTTTCTCATAAAGCATTTTCTGCTTTAAGTAAGGAGGTCATTGATCAAAGTAAAATAAATAAATCGTCATTTATAAGGACGGCGTATTTTTTTAATAAAAAGATTATTCACTCCGCCCAATTTCTATTTATTTCAATTTCTATCTATTTCATCTATTTTATTGAAATTTTCTTGCATGGCCAATCAAATTTTATAAAACGTAAAGCTGATTTCCCGGGGCCATGCCCTCCGCCCATTTTTGAGTTGAGTGGCAAACGGCAGCCGCATATGAATATAAACACAGACAATTATTTGTTCGGGCGGGAGAAGTTGCAACCAAAATGGCTGCTGTTGCCGCTGCAGTTTCTAAATAGAATTTTATTAAATTCGCTTGTTAAAAACTTTTTCACATTGAAAAAGTTGTTGCTGTGTTGTGTTGTATTTTTTTTACAAGCTAGTTGCCCGCTGGGATTGTCGGAGTGGGGGCGGAAATTGGTCCGACAGCGGACCATAAAGCACACAAAAATGTGCGTCAATAGCAGGCAACAAAAACACGCAACATCGAGCAGAACAAAAGCCAATCAAAAGTTTTCATCGGGCAAAGCCAAGCGAGGGGTAAAAAGTAAAGTAAATACAAACTTCGATGCAATCGGCTGGTGCATAGATTTGGCCACTAAGCCATGCAATTACCCAATCACCCGCACCCATACAAAAACCCCTGGCAAAATACCCTACCCCGTCCAACTATCCAGAAATCGTGCATATGGGGCCAACTGTCAGAGATCGAGATCCCGCGATAAGTCGACATTTTCTGCATTGGCAGGCTAACGAAACTCACAGATGAGGTCAGACAAATGGGAGAATTTGAATTTTAGAAGCTGAAAAATCAATTGTTACATACTGGAATCAGTTATTTGTTCTCTGAAACTGGTAGCATTTATTTTTGGCAAAAACTCATGGAATAAAGAAATAAATATAGAAATCGAATTACCTAAAGCTTAGTGAAAATAAGTTTATATAATTCGTTTATTAAATTTTACATAATCATCATAAGGGCAATTCAAAAAAGAGTTCCACAGCTTAGTTTTTTTTAATTTGTGATTAGTCTTTCTAAAAATTATTTAACAAAGTAGATTGCATAACCATGATAAATGCCTTGAGAAAAACAAGTTCTATAACTTAGTTTTTGTTTAATTCTTGCTCAGTTATTGTAAAAGTGACTTAACAAAGTTTCTTACATAATTATAATAAATGTCATATAAGTTAGAAAATCAAGAACATGTTGTTTTGATTCTTGATGTGTTATTTTAACAATTATTTAAAAAGGCTTTTGAGTGCTTTGTGAACCTTGCCTTTTAACCAAGTTTTTTGTGTGCTAAAAATTTTAAAAATGCCATATCTTATTTATCTGTTCACCACTGTACCGTAGGTGGCCTACCTTTGAGAAACTGTTGGCGGTACAACGTGGCAGACAAGTAGTTAGCATAAATTTGCCATAAATTTGCTAACAAGTGATTTGTGGTGTGTGCGCTGTAGCTTTTGGCCATAAATTAAGCGTCACTTTTTATTTAGCATACAGCTGAAAAAAGGTAAAATGTAAACAATTATCTGCGTGCCCGCAGCTGCAGCCGCAGGAACCGCAGTTTTCGCAGGAATCGCAAGGATTGCCATCAGATGCCAACAACTCGTACACCAACACACACAACACACATGCGTTCGCAGGACAGGCGGCTGAGATTTATGCGATACGCACACACTCACAGCCTCCCACATGCAGTCACATAAAAAGTCCTGCCAAAAGGAAAAGGAATTCGCAGGCTTTTGATTAATTGCCGCCACATTTTACTCCCCCTGATGGCTTCACTTGGCACCCTTTTCCACTCGCCCGGCATTTTCCCGCTTTCCACTTGTGCCTCCTTTTTCTTGTGTTTTTCTTCTGGCTAGCTGCATGGTTTATTTGCAGACACGTAGCACTCGCTGTCGCGGTCCCTTTTGCCATCATAAATATCGTAAAAATCCTAAAAAATATATATATAGATGTGTGTCGTCGTCGTCTAGGAGCTGCGGGCCAAAACGGAATTTATGCGCAATTTATGCCTCACACTCGGATTTTACTGTTACAGATTGTATTGAATAGATATATGGAAAGATTTTGCCAGCATATGCCGGGCAGAATCTTGATAATAAACGACTGCTTGTGCTTGCCATTCAATTGCAAATTTCCCCTATAGTACATTGAAATATTGTTTTCTTTTCGGTTGGACAGCCGGGCAAAAGTGCACGAATATTATGTATTTCCTAAGCTGAAAGTTCGCTGCGACTCGACTGGGGATTATGATATTTAGGAGGAGTGCTCTGCCATCGGACGAAATCCCTCGACTCTCGCCATTTTCCATCCTCTGCTGATGCTGCTGCGCCACATTGCGTATACGCCGCATTAAACATTTAAGCACGGAGAATGTAATTCGTTTTTATTGGCAAACGCAGCTGATTTAACAATTTCTCTGCCGTTCAACTTAATTTCAAGTTGCTGGTGATTGTATGTGTATGTGTCTGTGTGTTTTGGTTCGAGGTTGTGGCAAATTCAGTTTGAGTTTGCAGCTCCCCCGTGTGTCAATATTTGTAAAGAGAAAGTCGGGGCCAGCAAGAAAGTTGAAAGTAACAGCTCGCTTCTGCTTTTTACTTCGTTATTCGTTATTTTTTGTTGGCCAATAAATAAAATCCTTATCAATTGAAAATTGATTGATACACGCGCTTAGGTGCTTGGCTCTGATCCTTCACTGCAGCAGCACCAAAATCATCATCTTCGCCAGGCAATAACCCCATATGGACAGCTAATAGATGTGTTTGCCTAAATTCACACAGTGAAAAAATATAATTTTTTATAAATATTATTATGTGAGTTATATAAGAAAGAAACTAATTGTCTGTAAATAAACCGTTTAATAAATAAATTAATTTTAAACCTTATTTTGTAAATTTAATAATATGATGACAGGCTTCTGCATATTTTATTAGCTTCCCATTTATCTGTGAAATATTCTACCGCTTTCTAATATTTCTCTCCGTGTACGTGTGCGTGCCTACATCATCAGCAGAAAAAAGTGTGCAAAAAGTAGATGACGAAATGATTAATGGTCATTTAAGATTAGCTAAAGTCACATTCAGACACACTCAAAAAAGGGAAGGTTGAGAAAAATAGAAAAAATGAGATAGAAAAAGGGCGAGGGCGTCGGGAACACGCCCTCCATTTGTTGAGGGGGCGTTGGGGTGCTGGGTGTTTTGGGTGTGGCCCCGGCCATTTGTTTGTTTGTTTGTCTATTTACAGTTAGGTAGCCAATTTGAACTTTGAACCTAGGATCAATCAATCTGCTATTATGTTTATTGTTGCTGCTGTAGTAATTCTTACACGTAATTGCTTTTTGATTTTTTTCCCCGACCGTTTTGTATCTGTGTGCCTTTTTGAAAATTGCATCATCATCAAGTCGTTGTCATCGCCCTAGTCCCTAGTCCAATCTTGATGGATTGGCAAACATTTGAACAAGACAGAGGACCCTCGGACCCATCTTCTTCGGATCGGGCAGGCATATGTTAAATATTCGGGCCAAGAAAAAAAACGGAGTCCTTGAAGCGAACGAATCCCATTGTATTTGGCTAATGGCGCCGCCCTATCTCACTCATCCGTCTATTTTTAGGTATCGTGGATACGCAAAAAGGATTATCATCTGCTCACGGTCGGCTTAACAACGTACAGCAGTGATGAGCGGTTCAGTGCCACGCACTTGAAGCATTCCGAGGTGAGTCCTGCGCAAAGTCATTTGCATTGCTGATGGCGCAAGGTGGCGAAGACGGAGGCGTGGGCGGGGCTGATTGCATCGCATCGGAGACCTGCATACGAAATTATATGCTCCACACTCGGCAAAACTAGCTCTAAATACATCACAAGACTTGCTGTGCAACTTGAGTTTAGTTAAGATTTTATTAGAATTTTTGACTTAAAAAAGAAAACTAGTTAAGTAATTCTTAGAAGCTTAGCTCAAAACGAAATCTGTAGAAAATCGAATATATTTCTTAAAGAGAGGACGATGATATTTTGCATTAATAAGTTGTTTTGTTTGTTAACAAATTAGTTAAATTTTAGGCTAATTCAGTTAATTATTTATTTTAAAAGATTAAAACTAAAGTCTGTAGCAAATCCTAATAGTTTCTTAAGTAGCGTAGATTCTTTTTTGCCAGTGCACTCGCCAGCTTTCCATCTCCACGCCTCCTGGTGAATATTTGCAGCACTGTGAACTTTTGCAGTAGTCGGCCTCGAATAGCCGATACGTGACAAAAATTCAGTGCGAAATATTGCAAAATATTTTCGCAGCTGCAGGACAGCAAATTGACTTCCAGGCGGTCGGTCCAAGGCATTAATTCTAACGTTTTTTCTTTTTTCTGATCTCTTTTTTTCGGCCTGCAGGATTGGACACTGCAAATCAAATTCGTGCAGCTACGTGATGCGGGCGTGTACGAGTGCCAGGTGTCAACCCATCCACCCACCTCGATTTTCCTGCACCTCAGTGTCGTCGGTAAGTAGAGGCCGGAAACGCCTTTCATTTGCTGTCTATTGCCTTGGTTTCTATTTCTATTTGCGATTCGGTTCGGGCACTGGTGATTTTCTATAATTTCACGCCCTGATGGGTTTTCTTCTTCGCAAAGGAGTAAACGAATGCCGGTGAGAAGTCCACCGAGTGAGTTCTGAGCCCGGTTAGTTCTTGGCACATTTTCGTTACGTTCTGGATGCGCTCAAGCCGAAATTAGAAATGTCCATATGCCAAAGGTGGAATGGGACTTGGGTCGGGCCGAAAAGGGGTCAAAAGGGGTTCTCGAGTTGCGAACTCGGTTTCGGGCCAAATGGCAACGACTCAGCAAGTTCTCAACTCATCGCGCTGTCCTTGGCTAACTGACGCACATTATTCTGAATTTAACAAACAATTTACTTTGAATGTGCTGCGCCTAATGGGCTTTTCTGCCTCATCCCCTTTGGCATTTTCCCATTTTCCCAAAAAAAACAAAGCCACTCTCTTTGGGCACATACTCGTGCATGGAAACTGATGTGACAGGACAGCTACAAATTTTCCTCTTTTGGGCAAAGTGGCGCTGGGCTGGCTGCCAGATGTATTTCATAAATTTGTGGGGCACTTTTGGCGGGCTCTGAGCGAAATTGATAACTGCCCGGGATGGATGCTAACCGATTTAGTCAGATCATAATAAAGGATTTGACTTTGACTCGATTTGACCCCTGGGAAACTAAACGATAACCTTTGATCTAAGAGTTCCCAAAATAAATAATACAAAAATAAAGCTTTAGCTTGCTATTGTGCTATTGCTTGGTTTTTTTAAGATGGGGTATTTTTATTTGATTGACTTAAATTTTGTTAGGCAAAAGGTATAAATAAAACTGTATAAGTAAATTGGATTTGAAATCATAGCTATTTATGAATCATAGACCTTATCCTTGCGAAGACATTAATAAATGACTTAAGGTTTCTTCACCATTAATGCCTTGTGATTACTATATTTATAATTCTTGCTTGTAATTACTGCACTAATTTGAAAAAGAAAGAAAATGAACTAAATATGGTTGGCATAATTGTCAGTCCATAAATAAACAAGTTAAATTTGGCTTTGTTAATTCACCGTTAATGAGGCTTAACATGTAATTATTGGACTTAATTCAATGAGAATGAAAATTACCTAGATATAGTTTGATTTGATAGTCAATAACTAAATTGGTTAGCCTTGACTAGTTTTCTTCACCATTATGGTAATTAGATACATGAATACCAATTACGATTTTTGTTTGTTATTATATGACTAAATTCAATGAGAAAGAAAATTACCTAAACATGGTTACACCCAAAAAAAAATTGTAATAGATACTTATCTATAGTAACATAAATATTAAAAAATTGGGAATAATATTTTTTCAATGAGATGAGTATTAAAATAGTATTTTTTTTTGTATGTGGACGAAATTCAATAAAAAATCAAATTAGTTAACCAAAGCTGGGCTATTTCTGTAGGTACTTTATCCATAGTCTATAAATAGTTTTCACCACTAGCTATAACTAAAACGCTTATCGAATGTTATTTTTCCTTTCCCCAAACAAAATATCGATTGGTTAGAAGCCCGCGCCGAAATCACGGGTCCCCCGATCCGATATCTAACTCCAGGATCGACGCTGCGACTGCAATGCCGCGTGGTGCAGAATACAGAGGCCTCCGAGTATATATTCTGGTATCACGACAACCGCATGATTAACTACGACATTGATCGGGGCATTAATGTGTCAACGGAGCCAGGTAAGCAACAGCCACCCCTTTTCGGTTTGGTTTCGTCCCAACTTTTCACTGGTCTGGTCTTAACCCTTTATCGACTGCTGTCCGTTGCAGACTTTCAATCATCGGAGCTTACCATTCAGCGGACACGGCGCGAGCACTCGGGAAATTTCACCTGCGTGGCCAGCAACACGCAACCAGCCAGCGTTCTGGTGCACATCTTCAAAGGTGAGTACCGCACGGCGAAAATCCCACACACAATGGCCGGGATGGGATCAAATTTATGAAGGTTTCATTGAAGTAAAGAAGAAAATCGCACACAAACTCTTCATCAATTTCATCTTTTCTGAAGGCAACGGCAAAGAGCAATATTTTATAGCATATTTTAAATTACCTCAGTTGCTTATTTAAAATGACAATATTTACTCAATTAATCAACATAATATTTCCTTTACCAAATGTGGCAAATTCATCATAAAATAAAGTCCGGAATTTCAAAAAAAAATAAACACTTTACTTTTTGTCCGTGCACAATCGAGTTAAGCCTCGCAATGTGCCGGGGAAATTTCAATTATGTCCGCCAAATGAAATTAAAACTTTGAATAAACAAAGGACTGCTCATTTGAGTAACCGTAATTTTTGTACATCTGTATCTCGGCAGCTGTATTTGCATCTGTATCAGTATCCGTATCTGCATCCCGTATCTGTATCTGTATCTGTATCCGGTAGCTCTTTTTCAGTTCATATATCAGGCGCATGGCTTCGTTCTGTTGGCTAAGAGGGAAAACAATAAAAGTAATTTATGAAAATTACACGGCCGCAAGCATGTGGATTAAAAATGCCCGCGCACGGTGCTGCAGAATCCAACCATTTGGCAGGCAAAATGCCATTAAAGCCGGGCCATAAACAGGGTGATAGAAAGAGGGTTGTATGCCAGAAAAGGGGGACGGGTTGTGGGTGAAAGAAAGAGAGGAGGCAGACTAACACAAAAACAAAGAGTGCCCACGTAGTTAGTGCCAGTCATAATTTATAAGTTTCTGGCGCGATGAAGCGACGACGCTCATTAGCATTTTGTTGGTTAAGCTCACACTTTGCTCTTTGCCGTATACTAAGTGTGTGTGTGTGTGTGTGTGTTTTTTTAATTAAATTTTTGTGCAAATTTCATTTTCATATTCTCCGGATTTCTCTCCTGCAGGCGACAATCCGGCGGCCATGTATCACGGACATGTGGGCGGCTCCACGAAGACAATGCAGTCCCAGCTGCATATGATTATGATAATCATTGCCAGCGGCTATCGGATATTCCACACGAGTGTATATATGAAGATCGTGTAGATGGCCTGGCCGGAGTAGAAGCCCCATTTGTAACTATGTCATCAGCTGGTTACCCCTTTTTGAAGCCCCCAATCTTGCATTAGTTACTTCTCTACAACTTGCTAGCGGCATCGCCCGACATACGTACTAGCATACTACATACCACATACCACATACCATACCTAAAGCCTAAGCCAAAACTATCAGAAAAGCGAATCAAACTTAAGAACTCAATTTCTGTCTCTCTATATAGCCGGTGTGTATGTACACTCTCCTTTTATATGTATGTGTGTGTGTGTGTGTGTATTTAGTTAATGTGTAAGTGTCGAACTTAGCCACAGGATGCAGCTTATGCCGCACATGTATTATAAAAAGGTAAACTATTAAATTCAAAAGAGATAAAATAAAGAAATCCCATTAATTCTTAGCTAAGATCCTGAGCATGTCAACGAACTGACGTGCATTTCCCATATAGAATTCATATTTTTACAAGTCCCACTCTACGACTAAGAACTTAGTTTCAGCCACCAAAAACACACTCAATCATTTGGCCCTGATTTATGCTGCATTGTACAGACAACCACTTAACTGATTAAAATGGATTTAGCTAAAGGAATTTGGTTCTACTTGAGAAAAGGCTCTTCGAAGAAACTTTCAGAATTAAGCTGTAAATAAATTATTTGTTAAACTAAATTACATACATAAACTATTACGTTTAAGAGTGGCTAATGGTTATTTGCCAGAGATGTGCAAACAAATTTAGGAGTGCGATAGAAGGTTATGTTTATAAGTATTGCAACATTTGGCAAGAAGTTGTTAATCAAAAGAGGAAAACCGAAAACCGAAAACCAAAAACCAAAAACAGAGTAATCAAAATAAACTAATTGTCTAACATAAGGGATATTTAGCAATTTTTAATTAGTGGACATAACTTTTAACTGTCTTAGCAATGTGCAAATACAAAGGCATTTGCGACTAACTAAGTAAAAGGAGAGCTCAATCAAAATGGATTGAGGAAAGCTTCCAATGTTTGCGTGTAAATATCGATTTGTGCAGCTGCGGAAATGATTTCTAGCCCTTAAGTCTGTGTAGTTAAATGTAACGAAAATTACCAAACCAAACCAAATTAAAAAAAAACAACCATCATGAGAAAACTGAACAAATAAAACATAATAAAATTATGCAAAATACAAAACCAGGCACTTGGAGTCTTGATTAATGCGGCAAGTTGAAGTGGTGTTTTCTTTTTACTTTCGAGCTGGGTAAAGCAATTTCAGAACGCCATCTGGGGAGCCGAGCGCAGTTCATTTCATTCCGCTCTTCTTCCTCGGAGTTAATAAAACCAAATTGTGTGTTGAGAATGACGAGAGATGAAAATAGCGATGACGACGAGATGAAGTTGATGTGATGGCACAACGCGGAGCGACACTTGATGCCTGTCCTTCGGCTCGGATTTCAACAATGCATCCTTCGGTCGAACAAAAAAAAACAAAGGCATCATGAGTGAGTGCGGGAAACAAAAACCCGAGTAATCCGGCTAATTAAGTTTTGAATCGACCACAGAAAGTTTTCCCCTTCAATGGAACTTTGATTTGTTGCTAATTTTATTTCTGTTGAATTGCGCTAACCCCGTTTAATGAACTGCCCCGAACAGAGTGCAGCTCAGCAGTTCTCAACTTGGCTCAAATAATGGTTGAGCAGAGCAGTGCTCGAGTGCAGCAATGCAATTTGATGGTTATGCCGACCGCATTCGAACGAGCAAAGCTAAAGCTTCTCTCTTGGCCACAAACTCGCACACAAAAAGCAAACATAGACACACTAAAACCGAAAGCAGATTGGGCCAAGAGTGTTTTGTGAATGTGCCAATGGCCAAGAGGCAAATACAAAACGGCAACAAAGTTGTTCACCACAACAGGCAACAGTTTCTGTTTCTGCATATACGACCATAAACACACCCTCAAATATATTGTTATTATGTGTTATATCAAAAGCCACTCATGGGGGGCGTGCGAAGCGAAGGGGGCGTGGCCTTCGCTGCAGGCGGCCAAATATAAAAGTCAAGTCAGCACATATCCATCCACAGGGAGTTGTCGAAGCCATAGAAAAAACCTGGCATTCATGGCTGGTTGTTTTATTTTGAGAACCAAATGGAGTAAGCTAATGAAGTGGGCTTACAGGATCTCTTATGAATGACCCTTAAAAAAGGACAACAATTTTTAGAAATTTAATTTCTGTTTAAGTGTTAGATGCAGCATTTTAAAACTAAAACTGAAATAGAATAGCCAATGGCTTTTAATTAATAAATATAAAATTGACAACATGTATTCCAAACAAAGAGTTTCCTAGTTAAAGCTAAGGGATTTTTAATGAAATAAAAATTCTTTTTAGTTCACGAAACAATAATAAGAATAAGAATTACATTTTCAATTTAAAAGCAATTTGATAATTGGTTTTTGATGAAATTTGCTGTCATAATTTTTTTAGTAAGCCTATATGCAATTCTTGGACAATTAAAAAATGTAAATTAGATCAGAAAATAACTTAAAATGTAACACAAAAATGCATGCTTACTTAAATAAAGTGTTTTAAATTAATTATCAAAACATACTAAGTTAATGCTAAAAAATTTTAAATGGAAACACCACTTGATATTTAATATCAAACTAAATTTGCTGCCTTGGTTCTTGAACGATTAAATTTACCAAACATGAAATAGACATATATATTATAAACAAAATCTGTTTCTTTATAAAAAATAATTTTTAAACTAATTAAAAAAGATTATAAGATTTAAATTTCAAATAGAAAGCAACTTGATAAATAATTAAATTTGCTGCCTTCATCTAAGCCTATGTGTAATTATCCAACTGCAAAGTATGAAATTGCACGCTGGACTTTCTTGCAAAAAACCAATTCGATAATGGAAATCTGGCCCATTTTCTGGCCCTAATTTCTTATGGCATTAAATATACATACATCTCCGATTGGGCACTCATTAAGTCATTCTCGGCAGTGAATGGACCACTGAGCAGCAATGGCCGAAAGGCAGGCCAAGTGAGGCGTGAATTTTGGCCATGTCAACGCATAATGCCGAACGCCCCTAAAACGGGGCCTGGGGGAAATTTAACAAATGCAAAACGCATTATAAGTGTATTTATGCGTATGTGAGGGGGGATTTTGGGAGTGTGTACTAGCTGTAGTCGGTCAAATGCCCACACACAATGCGCATACGCCATGTATGCCGAGGCATTGTGTGAGCTGGAGTCCTTGGACGCCAAGTCCGGATTCTTCGCCTGATGCCTGTCATAAAAATTCCAATTTAGTTTCCAATTGCTTGACTTAAAGTGCTCCGCCATTCATGTGAGTGTCTCTCTTTATGTGTGTGTGTGTTTCTGTGTGTGTGTGTGTATACACTTCATAATAAACTTAACGACGCACAATTATGCTACAAGTTGGCAGTTTGGGAGCAGCGGATGGACTCACCATGCGAATGCAAAGCACAGCAATTTCCGAAGGCGTTACTCATACGCCCCGTGGTCCCGTGGACAGAGAAGCGCTGTACATTTAGACGCGTCTTGTAATTCAAAATGACAGACACGTACTTGCACATCGGCAAAAGCGGCCTGTTGAAAATGCTCTGCCAATGGTTTTATTATTCCTCCCAGCCAGAAATCGATAGCCATTGTATGCGAGCGTTGAAAGTGGCAGACGAAGAGCCTCTCAGAGCCATCACATTTCATTAGGGCATTAGTTTTGAGTGCATCGAGCACACTCAAACTCTGGATTCCGACTGAGTCCTGATCCCTCTCTTGTGGCTTTGGCTTTTGGCAAATTCTTTAATCGATGCAAAATTTCATTAGACTTCATGGGAGTTTACCACAACTGAGAGTCTTTCAACCTTGGCTCAGGCCACAAATTTGTTGATTCGAGAATTGGTAAAACAGCCATAAAATTGTTATTGAATTGTGGTTAAAGAAATAAAACATCAATTTGTTTAAAAACCTAACATTTAAAATCTCAGCCAAAAGGTAATCTAAAGCATTCATTAATATTAAACAATATTCCGTTTGGCTTTCGAAAGTCGTGCCTTCGTTTAACCTTGTTTGATGCTTCATTTTGCAATCAAATCAAATCATGAATGCCTCGAAAGCCTCTTAAAGCGCCCGCTTACTGAATGCCCAATTACCGAAACTTTTACTGGCAGGCTAAAAGCACTTTAAGTTAACATCTCAACCATTAACTCAAGGTCGCATTTCGCCTCTTTTGTGTGCGCATAATGGAAAACAATTATTTGGCCAACTTCTTACACGCGCACACAAACACAAACACAAACGCAAACGGAATACTAAGCACACATAGCCGTGGAAACGAGCCGCAGATTAATCGAACGCGATTTAATATAGGTGCGCAAACACAATCACCTAGACAAGACAATTCGGAAACTGGAGAACTCTTCAGACAGAAATAGAAGTGGGCACAGTGAAAAATTAATAACATCATTTTGGGAGACTATTAAGAGAAATATTTAATTCTGGAATTCTGGAACTTAATATGGAATTAATTTAGGTATATTTAAAGTACAATCACTAAGTGGGGGCGCTGCAGAAATAACTAGTGTTTGAAAGAATTTGTAAAGGCATCCAAAAGTATGATACATGCAAAATAAAAAAAATATGCTTTAAGAAACACCGCGTTCGTGTTTTTCTAGGATTTCTGAGTTAAAAAAAAAAGAATTTCATAAGACATACAAATTTTCTATTAGTTATCCATATAAGAGTGAACTTCTTTTTTTCTGTGTGAGAATAGCGAACTTTGGTCATCTCCAGAGTCCCTCGGTGGCCATCAGCAGATGTCCGAGGCGTGGCTATATTCGAACTCATTACCGCACACACAGATGAGTCTTATTTGCGCTTAGCATTCCCCACGCAAAACTCTTTGATGTAATGAGGGCCAATTAGGCCAAGCTTACAAGTGCAGGCGGCCAAAATAGCTCGCGTGGGTGGGGATTTTTGTGAGAGGATCGAGCATCTGTTGCGGACATATTGAATTGTTATTTTTATGTTGCAGTTTTGTAGCCAATTACTTGAGCATGTTTCGCCCCATACTGCTGCTCAGCGCTGATATCTGATATCTGTATATTTCTGTACCGCTAGGCGTTTGTTTTGTGTGCTGGCCCCAATTATGGTGACTTGACATGGCCTGTTGCATGTTTTGCCAGGCCAAAATCAGAGAGAGCGTGCAATATGCATGAGGCAAACAGCCAGCAGAGGAATGCACAGAGAACAAAACTGGCATTTGGTTAACAACTTTAAAATATGCAATTTTTAAGAAAGCTGAAATTAAAGTTTAAACTTTGTCATAAAAAAAATAACCTACCACATTTGATTTTATTTAATGTGTTTTAAACACAAAGTCCCACTTGTAAAAACACAAATTAAATTCAAGGACCCACAATTGAATTTATTTCGTTCTATATGCTTGTATAATATGAAAGCGTGTTTTTTTTTTTGTGTGTCGCAAAAAGTATGCTAAACAAATAGATTTTTTTGCTTCTGGTTGCCTGCCGGTCTGTTTGCGGCCTATAAACAAGTTGTGCGGCAGAAACAGAAAGCTTTAAAAATAAATTAAACGCCATAAAACAAAAGGATTAGCTGGATACAGTGTCCGCAAAAACAGGATACAGGACCCAGGATCCAGGGGTAAGTGGCAAGGGGCAGCCATAAACAAAGCGTGGCAATGACAAAACTTAACCCTAAGCAAAAGACAATAAAAACACTTAAAGCGAGGAGCCCACACCCGAAAAAAACAGAGACAAAGACACACACATATGTAGAATATGTATGGTGTGTGGCATAAGGAATGGCCGCAATGACCCAGCTAAACATAAACAAAAACGCAAAATGGCGCAAACATGGCACATATAAAAGCAAAGAACAAAATGGGGGGCTTTGGGTGGGCAAAGTGAAAGGGAAACAAGTGTAGCGCACATAAGAGATATGAACTAGAAATAAACAAATATTTCGTTTCATTCCCTCCTGGTTGCTGTGAAATTAGTTGGCAATGATAAAGATAAGTAACGTGAAATATGCGGCCCTCGCAATGTGTTTTCCACCCGGCAAAGGCAAGGACCATTGAATTTTCTTTTCTGTCGCCATATTTGCCCTGCCAAAAAGGAAGACAACATACAATTTTATGACGCTG